TCTTCAGGGTCATGGGAAGAAGATATTTTTGTTAATAGCTGCTTTTAATTTAAATTTATTCTTGAACTAGCTTAAATGCTACACTCTACAGACTTTTAAGTTAGCGCCTGTGGAGGGCCAATTAGGCCTCTAGGCCAAAACTCTGGTCCAGTGTAGAAAACGGCAATGATAATTTTGAAGAAATAATTTTGTATTCCTCAATTCACTCCATGGAACTTCAAAACCTCGCTTTAACTCTGTTTTGGCCTATAAGTCCAATTCCAGCCAAAATTACAAACTCATGGAACTTCAATTGAGTTGAGTTCATCAAATCACAAACTCTACAGAACTTCAAAATCACATCACAACTCTGATTTCATGAAATTCTGAAAAAATAATATTGATTTCCTCAATTCACAAAGTTTTGGAGATATTTTAATTTGAATTTAAGGCAATTTTTTTTAAATTCACGAAGTTTTTACTTTAAACTATAAAATAAAAACTTTTAAAATCACTAATTTTTTCAATTATTTTAAAATTTGTGTAAGCGATCTGGGATTACAAAGGAAATGTTTGTCGCAGATTATTTCCACGTCACAGAGAATAAATCACTAAGTTCAGACTCGAACATGGTGGGGGGGCAGAAAGAAAAGCCAAAAACTCCATTCGCAGGTACTATCTCATGAATCACAATGCATGCAACCAGTCAGAAAAATAACTCATTCTCTAACAAACGCAGTAGCCAAAATACACGAATTTTGCTTCCCCAATTCAAGAACACCGACTGCTTTTATCAGCCGAGCATTTTTTCCATTTGTCAACAGCTGGGAGAGGATGTTCAGTATTTTGCATATCAAAATACTTTTATAGTGACTCCTGTGAAGGACTTGTTTTTTAATTCAAATATTCCATCTTTAGCATGTCATGCGGAATACATACCCTTTTGTTTGGTAAGTAATTTTCTTTTTCGCCACATTCTCCGTCATAGAATACATGACGCGCTGTCACTTGGTTTGACGAGGTAATTCGCCGTTTTCTTAGTTATAATTTGAAATTTTAACTGTTCCTTCCTCATCCTGACACATCCTAAGCTGGATGTTCAAGCACTAGATGAAGGGCAGATTTTCAATTCTGGGACCATCCTGATTCCGAAAAGGTATATGTTTAAGTAGAGCAAGTGTGGCCCGAGTTTGCAGGGCTTCAATGGACAGACAGACAGAATTTGCTGTTTAGATTACTCTGTTGCTTAGCAGAAACTCATTTTATGTGTAGTTGCTGCCTATTTTATATTGCTTTCTGGCAAAAAAAAAAATCAAATAGACTTGTAGTGAATACAATGTAATAACTCCCTTTACCCACTCCCTTCAAATTTGGGTGAGCTGAGGAAAAAGACCGAAAGAAATTTGCAAATTTATGTGAAATTTTCTTTGGATTAATGAAAACCTTGCCTTTGGTGGTTGGCTGGCTTCACAGAAATTAGCCATTGACTCAAAAAATTAAAGAAAATAGTAAGCCTATGCTTTTTGATATAGAATGAAGAAAAAAATTATATTAACAAGAGTGCCTGAAGTCATGTGAAAGGTTTTGGTTCTGTTCACGTGTTCAAGTTCTTGCTAGTGTAAAATTACTCGCCAATTATATTATCAGCTTTTAATCTAGCATGTAGCACTTCAAAGAATTTTCTTTCAACAATCCAAGAAAGCTAAGTACTTCAAATTATCTCTCTTCATTTACTTTTGAATGTATGCAACTGTATATTCCTTCTATGAGAAACAAATTCTCTTATTTTTGTTTTAAACATTTTTGAATATTATTTCATGTAGGGACCTCCACTGAATTTTCAATACCTAAAGTTTAAAATTAATTTAAAAAAATTAAAAAGCATTCTTGAAGATTTCATTTTAGCTTTAATTGAAGGCTAAATGATTAAATTTACTATTTCCAGTAAGTAAAATATTCTGGTGTATTTTAAATAAAAATTATATAGACTGGAATTTCAACTTTTCGGCTGATTTAAGAAAATTTTCTTAAAAGTAGCCATTTTCTTAATTTTAAGAAATATGTAAAAAAACAAAATTATCAATTTTTAAAAAACTTCCAAAAATAAAATATATATTTGTGACATATTATTTGAGTAAAATTAGTAAATTTAATGTTAAATTAATCTGATTTGAAACAAATATTACTTATAGCATAAAAAATATAGTATACAAGCATTTCTTAACAACGGGTCCTCTTTTGATCATGTCTTTATTGACGTTATCGACATCACCAATAAGTTACAAGGTGATGACAGTATGGATGACCAGAATTTTCATAAATTTATGAAATCTAAGTCAATGCATTTTTTTTATTTTTAACTACGTGTTAATTTTTACAAATTAACATAATATTTTCAGCAATTATCTAATATTTTTGATTTTTACTTATGTTTGAATATGCTTTACGAAAAAGTAATAAAATTTAAAATAATATAAAATTTTCTTAACTGACATAAAATACCATGATAGAAGTAAAAATCAATAATCTATGAAATGTTACAGTATTTTATTTATTAGTAATTGTTATCATGATGGTTATTTTCTTAAGTTTTTACAGTATTTTAAATTTAAAACTTTGAAATTTTGAAGGGATGATTTGTAAAGATGTTAATGATGAAACAGAACTGAATAAGGAAAGTGTCAGATAACATGCAAATCAAGTGACCTTTTTAAGGATTATGTTGTGTATAGCTTCCCATAGGTAGAAATTGGGAATGCTCTATACAGTAAAAATTATTTTTTTTTAAATTCTTTTAAAAATATATTGACTCAAACAATTATCTTTTCAATTTTTGATTCATAAAATCACCAAACCACCACCTTGAAAGCAATGATGAATTTTAAACGATTTTTTAATATTAGAAATTGTTTTAAATAAAATAAAAAAAAAAAAAAATGAAAACAATTCTTGCAAAAATTAATTATTCATTGAAAAAATTTTAAGACAATAGTGTCCTTATTAAATCTTATTTATCAAAGCAATTAAAAGCTTTTCTAATTAAATAATATTATGATATTATTTAATTAGAAAAGCTTTTAATTGTTTTATTGCATTTTTTATTTTACAATGCAGAGCAGGTTTTCGGTGAAAGGGCCAACTGTTTTACAAAAAAAAATGATTAACTTTCTTCAAAGAGTCCTGCTTCTAACTAAAAAAAAAAAAAAAAAAAAAATCTCCACTCTAAAAATTTAATTTCTCAATTTCATGAAATTAAGCTGGTGGTAAAATGTGTAAAAAAAAAAAAAAAAAAAAAATTTCAAAAACAATTTCATTCATTTCTAAAGGTCCTGAAGGTTCCATTAAAATCCCACAATTATTTAATTGTTGAAAGAATTTCCGAATCAATATGTTTTTAACTGGGAAAAGCACCAAAAAAAAAAACTAACCTTGTTTGCTGCTGACATTAAAAAAAATAAAGATTTTTAACCAAAATTTCAAACATGCTACAAAGGAGTAAAAAAAAAAAAATTTACAAAAATAATAAAAAAAATACTTTGGACTTTCCTCTTAATAAACATTTTAATGACAAAACTTTGTTTTTATTGGGGCCTTTTTTCATCATGCTATACTGTTTTTTATGTGACCAAGTGGAAGTACCTAATTTTATGTCAGATCATTTCTGTATAATGAACATTTCCTCTTCATGACAATTTCTTGAAACTATGGGCTTTAAAATTTTCTGTTTTTTTTTTTTTTTTTTTTTTCTCTCCTTTCCTTAAACAAGCTACTGACACAATTTTAAGCATGTAAATTCAGAAATAAATTCCTCATCTTGTTTTTTTTTTTTTTTAAAAATTACCCATGTGTTTCCTCGTCATCATACTCTGTTAATCTTCTTAGCATGGATAAATCAACTGTTCACTTTAACCATGAAGCCACTAGACTTACTCTAATGTTGGTATAATAATTTATCATAAATTAATATTTAAAAGTAAAAGGATTAAAAGTAATGATTAATTTTTTTTTTTTTTTTTTTTTCCAAAGTTAGCAATTTCTTGTACAAAAGAAATGGTCATGAGGCATTTACTTTTCGTAAATTATTAGAGAATATTTAACATGTGTAAAAGATGAATCAAAAGAATTGTAGCTTGTAGCCTATTTTAGCATTGAACTGCTGAAGAAATTGTCTATACAGCAAGCAAAAGTATCAACTACTTCCATCATAGCTTTACTTGATCAAATAATTCTCCAGATTGGAGAGATTTTCATTTTTAGAAATCTTTGAGAAAATGAACACTACAATTTAATTTAAATTTCTACTGGGAAATATTTCACAATCACAAATTATATCATTGTTTCATAATGGTTGAATTGATATTATTTATGATGTCATAAGATTTAGTAATAAATTCTAAGTAATAAAAAAAAAAAAATTAAATCACTGTTTAATTATGCTGTATTTAAGTAAAAAAAAAAAAAAAAAAAAAATTATTTCTTCAAAAAGAGAGAATTGTAATCTTTCATCTGTGAGTCTACAGTTTGTTATTGAAACCTGTATAGAGAACTTGAAGTAAATATAAGACATTAACACAAGTAACTATACCTGGAAGATCAATACAAATGTTTAGAAATAATTAGATCACTGTTCCACTGGTTCACACTCCTCCCCTATCTTTTGAATAGGTGTAGAGATTTATCCTTTGTTTTCCATTTTAAGATAATTTCTAGTTCCTTCTAAAGTCTCATCCTTCTCTTTCACTTCTGGTGGCATTATCACTTTACTTGGGATGGTGTCTTACTCTGTAACTTTCTACCACGAGTGGCTCTTGGGCCTTATACAGGGTGAACATCATTGTTAAAAAAAAAAAAATTCAAATAACAAAGTAGTTCATGTAATATATAATCTTACTGAATTGTTCTTTGTATTTTTGAGTCTTTACTTTTTATTGGACACCATGTATATAATCATCTTGATATTTTGTGTACATCAGAAAAACTTATTTTTCCAAAACATTTTGTACCATAATATATTTCTGTAGGTGTGTTTGCTGGTCTCCTTGAGTCTCTTGTAAAGCTGAAAGTCTTCACTCCATCAACAATTGGTTTCTCTATTGCTGGATGGGCTGGACCTTTAGGTAAGAATTTATTTGAATTTGTGAATTTTACCAAAATTTATTTCTGTAGATGTATTTAGGACAAATTATTAGCATAGTAGTGAAAGTCAAAGCTAATATTTTTATTATTTGAATATTTTGAACATGAACATTTTGCAATTTCAACAGTTCTGATAGATCTTATAAAATTTAATTTTGGCTATATGTGTTAGGGACTTAATATTAAGTGAAATATAAACAACTTCATGAACTGTAAGTTTTACTCTTTTCAGATTTGGAATCTGATTAGTAAAAGTAAATTCACTTTCTAATTGAAAAAAATAGGTAATTATTTCATTAGCTCTATGTTGTGACAGACTAAAAAAATCTGTTTGATGTATGTTTGCATATGTGATTAGCTTAAAAATACACCTTGGACTGGTCGAAGTAATCTTGAAAAACGTTTTTTGTTTTTCCTAAAATGTTCAACATAAAATACCAACAAATATTATCACCTAATAAGAATTGATATATTTGGTGTAACAATTTCATTTACATTTAATATTACAGTATTATGTGTAGTGAAAATTGGAACGAAAATAATCACCCACCTGATTTCTGCCCTCCTTCAGCTATTTCGGCTTTTGTTAACTATGGATAAGTTCGACCTGAAGTTAATTCCTGAATTTGATGGTTCTCCCATGGGCCCATCTATCGTCGAATGGTTTGAAAAAAACTGAACAGATCTGCAGACTATTTAAGGTGAAAGAACCAGCGACAGTGATCCCACTGAGACTCATGAAAGGGGGCTATGCGGTATACCAACACCTTAGGGATGATGCGGAATTGGAAGAAATTAAGCGTGCCCTGTACACAGCTTTTGGGACAGACTCCTTCATCGCGTGGAAACAGTTTGTCGGGCAATGGCTTGAACCTGGCGAGATGGTGGACGTCTATCCAGCCGATTTAAGGAAGCTAGCAGTACCATTTGGCAGAGCAACTGACCGCATATTGGAATGTTTTGTTTTTTTTTGGGCTGGATGTTAGTCAGCTGCGGTGAACATCCTTGAGACTGGATGAACTGGGAATCGATGAATTGCTAGCCAGGGCCCGAAACATTCTGAAAGACACAGAACTGGTTGCGGCAGATGTGAGAACGACCAAGAGGCAACATGCTGAAAGTGATTCTGCTGTGCTAAGGCCACAAGAAAGACCACAATGCTACACAGATGTGGTGGTCCTAATCACTACTCCAGGCACTGTCGAGGCCAGGATAATGCAGGAGGTGCCAATAACCAAAGAACAAGGAAGCAATTGCGCTGCCATCGCTGTAACGAGCTGGGCCACATAGCGCGAAATTGTTTGAGAAACAAGTCCGGGAGCAAGATGCCGTCGCTAGCCTCGCCCCTCTTGGCCAGTAAATGCGGCGTTGATGGTGTGCGATGTTCAGCGCTCGTCGACACTGGATGTTCCTGATCAATATTTAGTGCTGACCGATGTAAGGTTTGGAGTAAACAACAAGTAGAAATGCAGACAATTGACAGAACGGGCATGTTGTGGAGTCGGGACTGTGTCGATCCTCACTCATGGAGGTGGTTATGCCGAAGTTAACGTTTTAGTGGCTCGTGAGAGGCCTCTCGGTTACGACCTACTGATCGGAATTGACGCAATACGAACACTAGGAGGCGTCATGATCACGCCAGCCGGATACATGAAACTCGGTGAAGGAAAAGAAGCATGTGCAGCCCTTTGCATCAAAGAACCGGATTTTGAGGCCGCTTTTGATCATAACAAGAGGATATGGACTGCCAAGTGGAAATGAACCCTGAAAGACGCGCCAACTCTACTTCATAATCGGGTTGAAGAATATAAGATACCCGATGACATCAGGGGAGAGTACGAGAGGGAACTGCAAATGTGGATCACGAACAGTTGGTTGATCCCATACCCCCAGGAATGACTAGGACCTCCTAAGGGTTTGATTCCTCTAATGGCTGTCGTACAACATACCAAAGGCAAGGTGCGCCCAGTGATGGACTACAGGGAGCTCGACGAACACGAGGATGCCTTCACTGCAGATGCAGACATATGTACAGCCAAATTGAGGGAGTGGCGTCAGCAAGGAGTCAATGTGGCACTGCTTGACCTGTGGAGGGCCTACTTACAAGTACGAGTCCACAAGTCTCTCTGGGCATTTCAGATGGTACTGATCAAGGGGAAAAGATATTGCCTCACGCAGTTGGGCTTTGGGCTGAATGTGGCACCAATGATCATGAAGTCAGTACAGTGTTGGCACAAGAACAGATGAAGGTGGCGACGTCATCCTACATTGATGACGTATATGTAAATGAGAATGAATTACCTGCAGGCGAGGTCAAGACCAACTTGGAATCCTTTGGTTTAACTTGTAAAGACCCTGAGGGCCTAAAGCATGGAGCTAAAGTGCTGGGTCTTGAGGTCTGGGGGGAGCATGACACTTTACGTTGGAAGCGAGGAACTGCAATTCTAGAACCCCCGGCTGAGATGACACGACACACCGTATTTTCCTTGTGTGGGAAGTTGGTGGGCCACTTCCCTGTTTGCGGCTGGCTGTGCGTGATAGCTGGAGTCCTAAAGAGACACATGACCACAAAGACCAAGGGATGGGATGACCCAATCGACGATGTCTCTCTCAGGCAAGTCGTGGAAGAAGTACTGGTGAGGGTCACCCGTGATGACCCTGTTCGAGGTGACTGGAGCGTATCTAGAGAAGAGATGAACGCATGGGTTGATGCGAGCTCATTGGCGACTGGCGTGGTGTTGGAAATACATGGTGACATCCTGGAGGATGCATGCTGGCTTCGTCCGACAAATGACACTCAGCATATAAATTTAGCAGAGCTTGACGCCACGGTGAAAGGTCTCAACCTTGCGCTGCAATGGCAAGCCAAAATGGTTCATCTGCACACAGACTCCGTGTGTGTCTACCATTGGTTAACCGACGCACTGACGGGAAGAGCCCAAGTAAGAACCAAAGCGGCTAGCGAGATACTGGTTCGAAGAAGGTTGACAATCCTGCAACAGCTAATCTACAAGTATGGCCTTCAAGTTGATGTTATTTTGTTGTGTCTGAGCAGAATTTTGCAGATTGAGTACCGAAGAGATGGCTAAATTTGATAAGGCACAGGTCAGATTCCTCACCTCTGATGTGCGGTGCCCTGACGGTTCAATTAACACCTGAATGAATCTGAACCATACATCGACAATGTGGACATCCTGGCATCCGACGTACAACCTATTTCTGCCGTAGGATATGCCCCTCTACCACGAAAGAAATAGTCAGATCGATAATACAAACTTGTGAAGAATGCAAATCGATTGACCCAGCTCTGGCCCAGTGGAAAAAAGGGAAGAATTGAAGTGGAAGACAACTGGTATCGGCTTGGTATGGATATAACCCATTACAGTGGCAATGGATTTCTGACGCTGACCGATTGCGGGCCGACACGTTTCACAGTGTGGCGCCAACTGGCGTGTCAAGATGTGTCGGCCATCATGCGAGAACTGAGGTCCGTCTTCTTCGAATGTAGTGCACCAGCTGAAATACTGACTGATAATACCCCAGCTTGTTGCAGCCAAACTTTCCTCCCTTTCACAGACGAATGGGGTATACGAATGCGATACCGGTGTGCTTATGTTCCAGAAGGTAACGGCATTGCGGAGTGGTGTCACTGTAATGTCAAGAGAATAGCTGCGAGGTCGCGGTGCTCGATACTGGAGGCTGTGTACTGGTATAATGCGACACCCAAAGATAACGAAATGCCGTCTAGTGCACCAGCAAATGGCATATACCAGTATGAGCAGTGCGTGAAAGGCATAGACCCCAAACCGTCACCTCCTGAAGTCAGAAGTAAAGTAACATATACCAAGTTGGGGAACCTGTTTGGGTCAAACCACTGGACAGCCAGTGCACGACCAGATTTGGCAAAAAACGGGTTGACGGAGTAATCAGTCCTCAGACAGTGCTGGTCAATGGCATACCCCTGTCATGTGAAAGACCTTCGCAGGTGCGACAAATCAGCCATTACGGAGGAAGACGAAAGTGACACATCGTCTGGTAGCGAAATGAGGGTCAGAATGACTTGTGGATCGGAAGGCCAACATTCATCTGCACAGTCAGCGTCTGAGGAAGATACTGAGATGAGAATGACCAAATTAGTGGAGATAGAGGGAATGTGGGAAACCTGACGGAAGAGCACCCTACACCTCTGAGAAGAAGCACCCAGAGAAAACGAGCGCCACCCCCATGCAATATTTGTGATCATGAGATCAGGGGGGAGCGTAGTGAAAATTGGAACGAAAATAATCACCCACCTGATCGCAAATGGCAGCGTATATGTTCTGCGTGCAAGGTTTATTTTTTTTTTTTTTTTTTTTTTTTTGACTGGAAAAAACATGGCTGCCCCCAGCAAGCTTATATTGCAAATGGTCACATATCCTCATGAGGGTGGTCGCGTAAAACCACAGAAAGTGAATTCACGCATGCAAATGAAGGAGGGCAGAAAAGGACATAAAAACGCCGAACACTTGTCACTCAAGGAGAAAAAGAATCTTCTGCAATGTTGAAGAAGAATCGTGTAAAGGAGAAAGCAGAGGCGCAGGAAGAGATTGAGTAAATCGAGGGAATTTATCAGTCGTTGCGGTTTTACACCAGGCGCACCAAGTGAATAGTGTGTTTCTTCAGGAAGTTTGTCAGTCATCGCAGATTTGCACCCAGTACATATGAAGTATGACCAAATACTGTTAGACCATGGCATCTTGGCAGACATCAGCTTACCAAATAGCTCAAATGTGCTTATAAGACTTTGGGAGTTGGGGTTGGAGGAGTCCCAGTTCTTAGATCCTATCAAATACAGTATACAGTGTTATCTTGACTTATGAGTGTCCCAACTAACAAGTTTTTCAAGATACAAGGCGTCTTTCTGCTGATTTTTTTTTTTTTTTTTTTTTCCTGCTTTGAGTTGAGAGCTGAAATTCAGGTTACAAGCCAGCTTCAGATGCAACATTAGTTGACACAGAAAACACAACAATGACTGCTGCCTAGCATCTTGAGTCTCACAGTGGGAGCATCAATGTTGTGCTTGCAGTTATTTTGCAAAACTTTTTTTTTTTTTTTTTTTTTTTTTTTTTCAACCATGTGGCCACAGAAAGTGAATGTGAAGGAGTGTGTTGAAGTGAATGATGTGCATTGAATTAAAAGAAAGAAATTATTGAAAATCATGACTTGGCAAAGCAGTATGAGCATAGCACTTATACAATCTGAAGCAGAAGGGGTCCATATAGGCGTCAAAATAATTTCTAAACAGTGGATATCTTTCCATGAAAATATAGAGAAGCTGCTGATGGTGTGGTTGACAGAGAAGCAACTTACAGGAGATACTGTGACAGAAGATATAATCAGCAATTTGCTGCAGCAGATGAGGCATCAGGTGAGCCATTTAAAGCCAGTTAGGGCTGGTTCAAGAATTTTAAAGAGGACCAGTGTGGTGAGCAGGGATACGAAGGCAGCTGAGGATTACCTCAAGATTTTTGCTGGAATTATAGCAGTTTAAGGATACACCCCCCAGCAGGTCTTCAACTGTGATGAGATGGGACATTTTTTAGAAGAAGATGCCAAGGACACTTATAATGACAGAAGAGGATGCCAGGCCACAAGTCTATGAAGGCTAACCCTTGCACTTTATTTTATAGGATCAGGCATGCATCTCTTTAGACCAAAATTTTACAAAAATAAATGAAGTTTAAATTTATGCAGACACAAGAGGAAAAAAAAAAAAATGGAGAAAAGAAATAAGTTCTAAAAATAAGAGAAAAACAGATTTCAAAATAAGCTTTATTGGGAGGTGGGAGAGAAAGATATAGACATGGGGAGGGGAAAGAGAGTAAGAGAGAAAAGTGTTAAGCAGTCAACAGATTGACCTAGAACATACTTCCTCTTCCCTAGACATGACAAGAAAAAATGAGTGATCATATTCAAAAAAAAGATACATTGAGGTGTCTAATCATTTCAGGCAGTGGAACATCGTCATTGCATTATAACCGTTATAATCACCCCCCAAAAATTGATAATAATAAAATATTACTATCAAAAAATTTTACATCAAAAAAAAAAAGAAAAGAAATTATTTAAAAAAAAAAAAAAAAAAAAAAATTTAATATAAAAATTTTGATTAAATCAATAAAGACATGTGTAAAGGACCATTTTAAGTAACCAAAAAACACACACACACACACACATATATATATATATATATATATATATATATATATATATATATAATATCCATATTCATGCATATAGGCACACATACATACACACAAATATATAATTATACATGCATATGCACATAAAAGTATATATACCTGCATACATATATACAAAAATACGACCAACTAAACAAACACATATGCATATACATACATACACATAAGTATGTCTCTAATAATAAAGATAATACAAAAAATAAATATTATAAAGAAAATAAAATTAATCTATAATTTAAGGTTATAGTTGATGTAAATATCCAACACTTCAAGTATAAAATTCTTCAAAATAAATGTCATTAGTGAATTTTAAAATGGTTTTTATGCCTACACTTGAAGCTGATTTAGTAGATGTGTGTATATATATATATATATATATATATATATATATATATATATATTATTGACCCTAATCAAGTAGGTCTTTACAGAGATGATGGACTTAGTTATTCCAACTAGTAATGGTTCTTTATCTTCTAGAGTACAGAAAAAGATTATAAGAGCTTTCCAATTTCTAGGATTTAAAACTGAAATCTCTTATAATCTTTAAATCGTTACTTTCTAAGTTGTTTCATTCAAACCATTTCATAAAAAAATAAAACTCTCACTTATATTAATGTCAACTCTAATCACCATAATTAATCAAATCCCTAACACTGTTAACACTAGAATTAATAGATTATCATCTAACAGAGTAATCTTCAATGCGAATAAAATTAATTGTAATGAAGCACTCAAAAGAAGTAATTTCAAACAAGAATTAAGTTACCAAGAATCTTTGAAAAACAATCCAACTAATAAAACAAAAAAAGACAATATGGTTTAACTCATCTTTCTGTAAATTCTCTAATATTAATATTGGCAAATATTTCTTAAATTTAATATGCAAACATTTCAATAATAACAATCCTTTAAGAAAAATTTTCAAACTCTAAAAATTAGTTACTCCTGTACTGGTAATATAGACAGTATAATTAGTTCACATAATAACCTTTTATTAAGGAAATTTTATGGCAGAAATAACACAAGAAAATAAACCTCCTTGCAATTGTAAAACCGGAGCTTACTGCCCAGTTGTGGGTATTTGTACTTCTGAAAATATGGTATATGAAACTACTATTTTTCTGAAGGAAAATATCAACCAGAAAAAAGTATACATAGGAATATCAGCTGGGAGTTGGAGGCAAAGATTTTACAATCACCAACATTCCTTTACCAATGCCTCTTTGAGATATCAAACGGCTCTGTCTAAACATTACTGGAATCTTAAAGATGGAGGGTTCACCCCACAAATAAAATGGAGGATCATCTGTCAATCACAGACTCCTAACAACTTCAGGCACAGATGCAATCTTTGCATTAAAATATATATAATATATATATATATATAATAATAATAATAATTAAATATGGAAATACTGATGAATTATTGAGCCAATGAAATGAACTTGTCTTCAAGTGTAGACATAAATGTTCTAAAATTCACTAATAACATTTATTTTGGAGAATTTTCTACTTGAAGTGTTGGATATTTTCTATGGTAACTAACATGTATGCATACAGGCATTCACAGCGTTTTCATGTATCTGATCCTTTATGTGGTTTTCTTCCCTACATCAACCTTAAATTATGGATTAATTTTATTTCCTTTATCTATAATATTAATTTTTTTAATTATTTTTTTATTAGAGACATATACTTATGTATGTATGGATATACATGTGTGTTTAAGTTTAGTTGGTTGTGTTTTTTGTATATGTGTATATGGATATCTATATGTTTATACTTTTATGTGTACACATGTATGTATGTGTGTGTATATATAATGTGAGTGTGCATGCATGCCTATGAATATATATATATATATATATATATATATGTCTGTCTTTGCAATTTTATGTTTTTTGGTTACTTAAAATGATCCATTAATTATCTCTTTATTGATTTAATTAAAAAATTTTTTTTTTAATTGGATGTTTCTTTTTCTTTATTTTGATGTAAAGTTTTTTAATAGTAATATTTTATTATTATCATCATCATAATAATCATCAATCTTTTGGGTGAATTATAATGGTTATAATGTGATGATAATGTTCTGCTGCCTGAAATGACTAGACACCTCAATGTATCTTTTTTGAATATGATCACTTATTTGTCATGTCTGGGGAAGAGGAAGTATGTTCTAGGTCAGCCTGTTGCTTAACACTTTTCTCTCTTACTCTCTTTCCCTTTCCCCTCCCCATGTCTATCTGTCTTTCTCTTCCTGCTAACAAGAAGAGATGGGTGTCCGATCCCATGAATTAAATTATCACCTAAATAGATTTCTAAGGGGACTCTGCTTTCCTCATTATTATTTGCACTGTTCTTACATTGAGCTCTCTTTCAATTTATCCCTACTAATTATCAATCCAGGTGATAAAGTAATTACTGAAAATAGATTATAAAAAAAAAAAAATGAGTAAAATTTTAATTTTTTTTTTTTTTCTCTCTTTTCTCCTCCCTAAATTTCAATTTAGTCAGAGTAAAATGTTAAATATATTTATTCTTTGTACAGCTGCTATTGGTGCGTCATATCCAACACTTACTTGTACTCTAGCCAACATGAGAGGCAAAGATGATGTAATAAACCATGCAGCTGCTGGTTTTATGTCCGGTTCTATATATGGAATTAGATGTAAGTACTATAATTATGCTGTTTTAATTTTCATTATTTTATATATTGGGTGTGAGCAAATATTTGCAGGATAGTGTGTTTCTATGTGTGATTATTTCTACTGTTTCAAGCACAGTATAAAGATGACTTGACATTTTTCAGTTTGTGCATGTTCTTACACATGATGACCATGAGGCAGACATTTAGTATCAGTTTTTGCTAAAATTTGGTAATTCAAAATATTAATTTAAGACATTCTTTACAATTTTTATTTATTTTTTGCATTTCCTTAGATAAATTCAACATTATGTAATGTATGTTTTTGTTTTGTTTTTATAATTACTATTTTACTTCTTGATTATTTCTTTTTTTTTTCTTTTAATTTTTTTTCTCACCCACATTTAAGGTTATAGGTATTAAAATAAGGAACTTTAAATTTACAGAATATATGATCAGTTTGTCTTTTTGATTTAATAATTTTACATGCCACCGTTTTTTTTTTTTTTTCTCCTTTCAGATAGGAAACCCTGGGTAGCTTATTTTGGAGCTTTCTCTTTTGGAGCCTTTTGTGCTTTGAATAAATACTGTCATCAGAAAGGCTATCACCTTTATCCTGATGAAGCGTACAATGTACCTAATGCCAATTCTCAGTTTACTTATTACAACAGGAGCTTTTTGGCAACAAGAGGTTCAGTTCTTGGAAACCAAGACCAGTAAAAATTAACTTTGAAATATTTAATGAATACAATTTCTCTTCATGTGGCAGAAAAAAAAAAGCAATACTCTTAGTTGATTTTTGTTTCTTTGTATTTATTTTCAATCTGTTGTTTACAATGACATATTTAACAGAATCAAGAATGAACAAGTTTGTTTCTGCTGAGGGATAATTTACTACAATTAACCAGGATTGTCTTGTATCCAGATTGACCACAACATTAATTAAAAATATCTTTATGGTTCATTATGATTTTCACAAAACTAGTTAATGTATTGTTTTGAAGCTGTATTTCAGAGACTTCTGGACACTATTAAATCAGAAAAGTTACAGAGTGGAGAAGCTTGATAACTGCATGCACACGTTAAGGTGAATATGCAGTTAACAAAGGGGAAAACTCTAATTTTGCGTATTTTTCTAATTTTTTACTTTAAAGTTCATACTAATATACTGTGGATAAAGTGTTTCACTGTTCAGTGCCTCAACTTCTAGTGTTGAAGTTCAATTCTTTCTTGGTCAGGTAGAGAAAATCCTCCAAAATCTAATGTTTGGTCAGATTTGAGAAGTAGTTTGAGCTGAAGACTTTGTATTTGTAACAGACACAACTTCATATTGTTTGACAAATAATGTGATCGCACATGTCAATCAGTAATCCTACAAACATCCTGTATTTGCTGAGATCATTTATCCATGTAAAAGTTATCTTGATTTTTATTTGATTATTCAATACTTTGCTATTCAATGAATTTACTGTATAGGTGTAATATAAGTACGAAGATAACATAACAAACTGTATATTGATTCTTTAGCAAACTATGCTGAGTACCAAGGCATGAGGCCACATCTGGATATTTCCAGGACTTGGAAAAAATATAAAATATGTTTAAAAAAGTAAAGTGGCAAAGATATTGGCATCTTAACTATTAGATGTTCATTCATTTACACATTAATTGAAAGCATTAATGTAAATTAAAGAAAAATTTCAAATTTCATAAAACACCAGTCAGGATTCAATAATATAGTTTATTCAGCAAAAGTAGAGTAAATATTATATCATCTCAATGACCTAGCCATTAACAACACTCACTAACTAAATTTGTTGACATGCAATTTTTTTTTCTTTACTAAAATTTAGTAGATTGGGATATTTATAATGATCTGATGTCTGTTACCATACTATAGCACATAACTTTTATTAGAACAATACCATTAAAATAAAAAAAGTTTCTACTATAACTTATAACATGAAATCCGTTTGTGTTCATTTTGATAGTTGAAAATAAAATCCTATATCAAGTGAAAGGATTATAAATTGTATAAAATAACTGTTAAAATAAAACTAGTGGTTGTGCTAGAATACTGTCTGACCCACTTTTTATTTTTATATATATATATATATATATATATATATATATATATATATATATTTTCTAACTTGCAAACATGTTTAAAAAATCATTTAACATTAGTCCTGATTAGCTGTTCAAGTAAAGTTTATTTTAAATGTAATTAGTTTGGCTCATTGCATTTATTTGCAAATATAGATATGAAATAACTTGACCACAAAATTAAGGGTAAAATAGAAAGTAGTTTATGTATACCTAATTAAACAATATTAATGAAAAGTGCTGTCGTGTATTAGTTTAATATTGATATTAGATGTTGGAAAAAGATGGGATATTGTTTTAAATAATTCACTTTGTTTGTGAATGTTATTATTTTTAAATAGTTACTGAAGAAAAATGTGGATTAATCAATTTCAGATTAGGAAAACAAACAAGGGCAGTAATCGACAAGTAATTCAAGTTTTCTATCAGTTGTCTTAATCTGAATGTCATTACTCAGTTCACCTAAATATCTAGCTTGCTTAAATTGTTAGTTTAACCTGACTACTTTGTCATCAAAAGAAGTCACCAGCTGTGTGTTACTTGTAGTTTTTACTGGGTGCCATATTAGTGGAAGCAAGGATGCAGGTATGAATAACATGGCTGAAGCTACTAACCTCCCCACCCTTACGAGTACTTTTTATGAGTACCAAATTTAGTATTCATCTGCTTGTCTCTTATGATGAATTTAAAGATATTAAAGTCATTAGTAATAGTTCCTAACATCTGAGAGAGAGAAAAAATCAATGGAATTTTACAACAAAAATAAATTAAATTTATTCCTCAGAAGCAATATAAGCAAAATAAAAGTATCAAATGATTAATGGTAAGTGTTTAAGTTTTGAAATGTGGTCTTAGTAGGTACGCCAAACTGAAATTTTATTTTCAGTATATCTAAAAAACCTTTAATACAGGCATAGTGATCTTGATAAACCATAAAATTTAGCAAGTTATGACTATTCAAAGTTCATAAAAACTGAAATTGCACTAAAAAAAAAAAAAAGGATCCATTGGCAGTACATGCCTGAAACTTTATCAATTTTGGGTTGAGGAATTCAACAAAACAACTTTTCACTCTAATCAATACTTTTATAACGCGTATATTTTGGAAAGTTATGAAATTTATGTAATTTTCAACTCGTCGAAAACAGGTCAGTAAATGATTACAAAACTTAGAAATGTGTTCTACAAAAGGAAAACATACTTTATAATAGTGCTTTAAATTTCTTCAGTTTTAAACTGATAGAAAAGACTTTCTAGATATTGTGAATGGTTCTCCTACACTTCCTCTCCCAATGGTGGTTTGCTGCCTGAATTTCCTTTCTATAAGCATTTGATATGGCTAATATTTCTGAAACACTCCATATCCAGCCATCACATCAAAGTCCCATCTGAAGACAAATGTTGACTTCACTTATCTAACACAGGCCATTGGAAATCATTTCTGCTCTTTGGAGTTAAGAACTTTATCACAGCACTCAATTGAGATGCAATGACTTGACCAATGTAAAAATTTGAGTTAATATACTGCAACCCATTGGCCTTTGTTCTTGTAATTGAAAGTCACTTCAAGTGGTTCATCACCACCATGCCTTTTCTTAGAGGCAATGATGAATTGAGTAATTTTCCAGTTGTCAAGTAGTTGTAAAGAGCAGCTTCCAGCTGAGATTTACTCCCACTGTTGATTTTGATATCTAAGCCTTCAGATGCTTCCAAACCACTGCTTGTACAGGACCACCATGCTTGATGACCGAGTTAATGATTCTGTTTTTCAGAAATGCCAGGAACTGATTGCCACTCAGTTGTTGGTTTTGCTTTTATCCAATATCTAGTCTGGTTGGGTTTGATCATGTTTGAGGCTGATCAATGATGAAATTATGCATATCATTATTAAATTTAAATTTTGAGGGTGTCTTGAGATTTTTTTACACTTACATGAAAGAAAAAAATCCTGCAAATGTTGCTTGAATAAATAAAAAAAAAAAACATATGTTCATCATGAACCTTACCAAAAAAGAAAAAAAATTGCATTGAAATTTGGTAGTTTCATAATTTAATATTCTTTAACATTTCACACAAAAATGTCTACATTGAATATCTATTAAAAAATGTACTTGTAAGTTTTAATTGTAATTCTGAAATTCCTCCAATAAAGGACTTTTCTATTAAATGAAGATGTTTAAGAATTGAAAAATAAATTTTTTTTAAAAACTTGTATTATTTTTACAAAATCCAGTCAGTTCCTCAATTTTACTAATTTATTTTAAAACTTTTAAAATTTATTTTCATTTGTTGCCAAGAATGGATTCAGTGAGTATGTTTTAAAAAGTTTTCAACTTATTTGTTTGTGAAAGACTAGTTCAAACCTTATGGTTTGTCCACTAAATTGCTAGGTGTCCTTCACCTCCCTTTAGTGACAATTTAAAGATTTGTGAAATAAAACATAATCATACATGAAAAAAGAATTCTAATCTTTTAGAATCAGAAAAGGTTAAATGTTGTACTAATTTTATTAAAATAACCTTGAAAATAAACAAGATATCAGAAATTGAAATGAAATGAAATTTCATTACTTTGACATATGTTCACTGTAAAATAGGGCAGTTTGGGATAGCAATGTTATGATATAGTGTTACTATAAACTGCAAAAAAGTATAGCTGTTTTTATACTAGATTCGTTGCTAGGACTCTTGTGTAATAAGTCTATTTCCTTGTTCATAAGCATTCCCAATCTAACATGTAACTCTGTTTTTACAATGGGTCATTTGCTGTGTAGTATAGAAATTGACATTTATAAATAGTGTATTAAATGATAACTTAATCTTTTGTTAAACACACATTGCAATGTTCTGAAGTGTATGTGTGAAATATAATCAGTTATCAGTAAGGACAATAGTCTGAATAATGTAAATAGTGTACATAATACCTCATCTCGGAAATATAGACAGATACTCAATTATTAGTCTTCGTACATTTAATGTATTGATTATTTATAAGCATATTTTTCTCCAGACAAAAACATACAGCTGGCTTTTAATTGTAAATTGATTGCTTCCTAGAATAGATGAATAACATTACCTACCAGTAAACTACACTTATCTTCAATTTAAAAAAAAGACGAGCTCCCTGGAAATTTCATTTTATAAAATGAGATTTCTGGTGTGTATTTCAACTATCGAGTGAATCATCACTTCTTGCAGCAAAAAGACAAACTTTCAGAAACATTTTGTATGATGAAATGATTTATATCCAAACTTTACATTGATATACAAGTTGGTTGATTTCAAAAATTGTTTCTCGTGATTTATCCTTCAAAGCAATTGACATCAGCACAGGTTTTGTTGTAGACATGCCAAGGTGAATATTTTTTGCCACCACATGTGTCATTGGCTGAAAGTAAAAGATTGGAGACATTTAATCAGTTTTAAACCCAAGTAAAATACCTTCCCTTTTAGTACATTCAAAGTTAGTATTTTGTGTGTGTGTGTATGTATGTATATATATATATATATATATATATATATATATATATATATATATATAGCAATATTATGTTTTATTATTTTTTCTCTCTCTCTCATATATATATATATTTATTCAAGGAATGATTGCAGCCA